TAGAATACTAACAAAATCATAAACTCTGATCTTCCGAATTTCGTTGTATTTTTTAAAAAAAGGGGGGGGGGGTGCGTTTAATATTCGTTCGTGTACGTTACATCTCCATTACGTAACAATACGGCATTCCATAAATTAATTGCCACGGAGAGTATTGGAATGGTAACAATATGTTATATTTATAGCACGGCTTTCATGAGTTAACAGGTTTAAACCTGTTCACGAATAAAGCGTACTTTAAATGACTTGTAACATTGACACCTGCTCAACATGCTTGTTGTTATTGCACAGAAAACCCACCCCCACTACTCTTCTAAAACTAGTGTGAACCAGCAAAAGAGTGCAATAATATTGAACATGTCTAGTTATTGCACCGTTAAGCTCCACCCAATCTACTAGAGGGAAAACAATCTGCTTATTCAACGAAAAGAACAAAGGAAGATTTCCCGTCCATGTTACAAGATTTCGTTATGGAATTGTAAGTGAAAATAGCACACCGCAACACGCCCTAATTACTCAGTACGTACTACTTAATATAATTATACAATCTGATTAAATACATATACTTTTCAATTCCTTTCTCGTTTCTTTTCCTTTTGAATTCCATATTTTATTATATTCTCCAAGATCAGGGCCCTCACATAGGGGGAGGCTGTGAGGGGTTGGGGGGACTGGGGAACTAAGGCAAAACTTCTTGGGGGCGGCAATAATCATACCAGAAATATTCAAAGGGGGCCTTGAAACCTATGTAAACCAGTTCATATTTCAGCAAATGGAGATGGTTGAATTAAGATTTTTCCAAGATATAGTATAGGGTTTTATCGATCAAATGGAAAGTTTAACGGGTAATAAACATAGAATTTTACAAATATTTTTTTTTAATCATAAAAAGTTACAGTATGCAGGCGAGGGGGGGGGGGCACTGGAAGTTTTGCCCTGGGGCGCCACATAGGCTTGTGGGTGAGGGCTCTGACCAAGATTCGCCTTTACTGGTCACTGAAGTAATGTACATAACACAGCCGAAGCAGGGGCGGATTGGGCTATCGGGCGATCGGGCCGAAGAGCCGGTCGGACAAAAAATGAAAAAAATAATTTTGTCCAATTCGTCTTAAAAATCTTTTTCTGCTGAACATAATGGGATGGGGGGGTATTGGACCGGTCATGGAGCGATGATGATCATGTTGTATGTGGCCGGTGGCTTTAACGGGCCGCCACGCCATCACTAGAGTCTGGAATGGGCTGGTGTAATAGACTTTCTGGGCCGGGTGTGCTGGGTGTGGGCCGGAATTCGAAATCCTGCAATGGGGATTCCGAATTTCATCCGAAAATTTCATCGGATTCACCCGACACTGTCTCCCGCAAATTTACTAATTATTAAGTCACCTGCACCCTGTTTGTGGGGATACGCCAGAAACGTCTGCCGATGGTTCGTAATTCCAAAAAATAAATTCAATTTTAAGGCCTCAGCAAAATTTGATGATAGCTGGTCTTGACGATACAATGATAATACGTTAATTAATAATATGACGATATGATAATTTCACAGGTTGATGGTTGTAAATTACTTGCATATCGGGGTTTTGGCCTAAATTAATCGATATATGAGATATATTATTTGACAGAGATTATAATCAAATATGCCACCAAATCGCATATTTGGGGTTCATTTTTCAAAATTTTCCGGGCTCCACGCTCATTAAAAGGGGCCGCTCCAACACGGGAGCCCGGGCCGGTTTCCGGCCCCAATCCGCCCCTGAGCCGAAGGCAGTCGAATATTTACTCGACACATCCTATCGAACAAGAAATTGCTGCATGAGCCTACTTTCCCGAACGATAGCCGTTCATGTAAGATCTTGTGCAGTGTAGTTTATAAAAAAGCAGAACCATATGATACTTACTGCTGGCCAATATGTCACGTCAGTGTAAATTACATGAGGAAATGGAGCGAAATCTGTAGAATTTTCAGATTTTCTCTCATTTAATGTACATTGCAAATAGTCTATGAAGTAACTGACAGACACACATGGTGATTGTGCCAAACATTTCTTGATACATTGCATAATACTAACACTTTTGTAAGTGTAGAAAAAACCGACTTTTAAATAGTGACCAAATTTTAGAGCACTCTGATTGAATCGAGATATATCGGTACAAGTATGAGCCGGATTGCTTAAACCGTCGACGGATTTCCAAGTAAGGAGCAGCACACCACAGATCAGAATGATAATTAGTCTGCCCATACTTATAAACACAACTGAAATTAAAAAAAGAAAAAAAAACAACATTAGTGAAATATCGCCATGGTTTTCAAAAATATGTTAAATATGCAAGTAGTGCATTTGCCGTATTTACAACAGCTGAAAGTTCAATTATTAAAATTCTACTACTACCAAAATACCGGCAAGACAGTGGGCAAATTCGAGCAAATTAACAATGACAAGTTAATTGCTAGCTAATTTTTGATAAACCAGCGGCTGCCAGGCAGGATACGTCCACATTTTGCAACAGATGGATAGAGAACAAGCTAAAAACAAACGAGATTTTTTGTACAATCAGGGGCAAAAATCCAGAAAGTTATTGCCTGAAATGTGCAAATATCAAAAGGGACTGAGATCTTTGGGATATAAAGATATGTTTTAAGTTTCATCAAAATTGGATAAAAATTGTGACCTCTAGAGGGTCCACAACCTTCGTATTACACACTTCTACACAATTTGCATACAAGCAGCGGACATATTCTCGGGCAGTTTCATTTCGATTTTCCCGAAATACGACTTAATCTTTATTATGGTGGAATTGTGGTGTATTTAAACGGTTTTTAAAATCAGAAAAAAAATCGTGACCTTTTGAGAATCCGCAAGCTAAAAATGCGATTTTTCGAACAATCAGGGGCCATAATCTAGTAAGTTAAGTTCGGGTATCCACGATTATCAAAAGAAACTAAGATCTTAATGTGTAATGGTGATATATTCACACGTTTTATTAAATTGGATAATAATTGTGACCTCTACAGGGACCACACGTTAAAAACGTGATTTTTTGTTCAATCAAGGGCCATAATTCAGGAAGTTTCGTAGTGTGTAATGGTGATATATTTACACGTTTTATTAAATTGGATAAAAATTGTGACCTCTACAGGGACCACACGCTAAAAACGTGATTTTTTGTTCAATCAAGGGCCATAATTCAGGAAGTTACGATTCAATATGCGCGAATATCGACAGGAACCAATATCTTTGGGTTATAAACATGTATTTCAAGTTTCATCGAAATCGGATCAAAATTGTGACCTCTAGAGGGTCCACAACCTTGATTTACTCGATGTTTACTCTATTTGAGTACGAGGGGCGGCCATTTTGTTCAGCAGTTTTGGCCCGATTTTCATGAAATTCGAAGTCAACAAACATTACGGTGTAACGGTGATATATTCGAACGTTTTTTTAAATCGAATAATAATTGTGACCTCTAGAGAGACAACAAGCTAAAAACGCGATTTTTTTGTACAACCAGAGGCCATAATTAATTCAGGAAGTTGCGATCTGATATGCGTGAATATTGAAAGGAACCAAGATCTTTGGGTTATAAACTTGCATTTCAAGTTTCATTAAAATCGGATCAAAATTATGGCCTCTAGAGGGTCCACAACTTTGATATACCAGATGTTTACACTATTTGCATACGAGGGGCGGCCATTTTGTTTGGCAATTTTGGTCTGATTTTCATGAAACTCAACCGCGGACAAAATTACGGTGATATATTCAAACGTTTTATTAAATCGGATAATAATTGTGACCTCTAGAGGGACAAAAAGCTAAAAACGCGATTTTTCGTACAATCAGGGGCCATAATTCAGGAAGTTATAGTTCGATATGCGCGATTATCGAAAGGAACCGAGATCTGTGGGTTATAAACATGCATTTCAAGCTTCATCAAAATCAGATGAAAATTGTGACCTTCAGAGGGTCCACAACTCTTATACGTAATATTTTGACACTATTTGCGAACGAGGGGCGGCCATTTTGTCCGTCAGTTTCGGTCCGATTTTTACGAAATTCGAACTCAACCATCCTTAGGGTGTAACGGTGATAAAAATTGTGACCTCTGTGGGGTCCACAAGCTAAAAACGCGATTTTTCGTACAATCAGGGGCCATAATTCAGGAAGTTATGGTCCGATATGCGCGAATATCGAAAGGAACCGAGATCTGTGTGTTATAAACATACATTGCAAGTTTAAATCAAATCGGATAAAAATTGTGGCCTCTACAGCGTTCACAAGCTAAAAACGCGATTTTTCGTACAATCAGGGGCCATAATCCACGAAGTTACGGTCCGATACATGCCAATATCGAAAGGAACCGAGATCTTGGGGAGATAAACCTATATTTCAAGTTTCATTAAAATCGGATAAGAATTGTGACCTGTAGAGTGTTCACAAATAATTGTGGACGGACGAACGGACGTCCGGACGGATGGACGGACAGAGGCGACGGCAATATACGTCCACATGAAAATGTGGGCGTATAAAAAAAAAACTTAAATTTTTCTGCAGAACAGAAATGGCTGCCCTTCTAATCACTGACCACATTGAACAGCAGTGAATATTTGCTAGGCCCCTACAATCACTGATAAGGATAACATCGATGCGACCTAATGAGCCAGAAATATTAACTTTTTTCCTCCGACAAATTGAATTCTAAAACATTTTTTTATGTATTAGAAAAACAAATAAAGACGTTTAAAGTATTTGTAGGTAAAAATTATATCCTATTTAGTGTTAATGGGTATTAAAATGAGTAAAAGGCACCATTCTGCCGAACCACTAACGTCTTATGTAAACAATGCACGCGTCATTGAGCCAATGATTGACGCCGCGTGATGTGACGTCACGTGTTGAAGGCAGTCATCTTTTACAGATCTGTGAAGCAGATTGATCACTGACAAGATGCTGCTGAAACCGACAAGGTCGGATGGGGGGGGGGGGGCTGTGCAAAATATGTTATAGATATTGTGACAGTTGTCCTTTAAACGTTTTTGCATATCGACGGAATTTCCCTTTAAATTCTACACATTGGGCTGTCAGGTGTCACGTGACGAACAGTTCGCCATATTTTCGAGTCTGCAAACACGCATGGTAGTCGCCGAATATTACTTGTGTAGGCGCATGGAGGTATGTTTCTTCAGTTTATGAAATCGAATTGCATTCGATACTTTCAATAACGTTCGATTATCCATTTTGTATATGTATTAGATATTAAGTAGCTTTTTCGTTCGTATATTTTCAGTTTTCACGTCTGTGATGTGAGAGAAAGTACGGTCCACGATGGCTATTGCATAATCTACGTCCGCAACGAATGACATGTTCGATTCTTATGCATTACCATTGACTTTCTAATGTATTGTTGTTGTTGACTTCGTCCGTTACTTTTGTCAATAATAATAAACTTCAACCAGTCACAGTTAGTCGAGACTTCCATGTTTGTTCGTTTGTTAAAAACCCCCTAATGACAGTCTCTGTCCTGCCTGCTACCATGAATACGAATACGATTCCGATTCGTCGACAGCGGCTGCCGTTACAGTGAAAACTCCCGGCTTGTTCGTAGATAGATTAGATAATTTAGTTGGGAATTGTAAAACTCTTATAAAAATGGCTGAAGCAAACGTAGATGACACAGATTTGCAATCGGAAAATGAAGGGAATTCAGATTCTCAGCGTGAAAGAAAATTAACCCAAAAAGGCCTTGAATATCAGATACAACAAAAACAGAACAGTTTTCGCAGAGCTGTTTCCAAGTGGCGTCAACAGGCTAACACACTGGGAAAACTTTTATCAGATTCAAGGGACATTCCGCTTATTCGTAAAGAAAGAGACACTTTAGAAAATGTCATCGGTGAAATTTCTTACATTTTATCAGAGTTAAATGAATTATGCGAGGAAGGAAGAGAAGTCGAAGCTTATTACGAACGATATGACAATATTGAAGAAGATCATTGTAATCTTTTGAAGAAAGTCTCGTCATATTTGCATGACTTCTTATCGGATCGTGGTTCTCGATCATCTTCTAAAAGTAAACAATCATCGAAATCATCCAGCTCAAGAAAAGCTGATATATTGGTAGAAGCTGCAGAACTTAAAGTTAAATTAAAGTACGTTGAGATTGAAGCTCGTAAGAAAGCGGAACTTGAAAAGCTGCGCATAGAGAAAGAATTGTGTGTCGCTGAAGCTAAAGTAAATGCAATCGTCAAAGTTGAAGAAGAAGACAGATATGAATTACCAGAAGAAACTGTTACAAATTTTGTTGAAAATTTTGTTATATCATCGACTGATCCATATATTAACCCTTTAACCACCCCTGCTTCAACTTTATCAAGTAGTTTGAATCCGAATGTTCCTGAATTTCAAGCTATATATGCATCGTCGTCATCACACACTACACATGTTTCACCTTCTCACATTAATACTCAACCAATCGCATCATCGTCAACAAACCTGGTTTCAGATAACCCTCCTCCGGTCAATTATCCGTACAGATCTAATAGTAACGATTCGCAAAGTGACTTGTTAGCTTTATCAAAATTGCTCACTGAACAGTCGCATTTAAACCGTTTGCCCCCTCCTGAACCAAGTGTGTTCAGTGGCGATCCACTGAAGTATCCGAGTTGGAAATGTGCGTTCGAAACATTGATTGAAAACAGAAATATTCCAGTCTCGCAACGAATGCATTATCTTTGGAAATATTTAGGTGGACCAGCTAGAGATGCAGTCGAAAGTTACTTCTTATTAAACACCGACGGTGCTTTTCAAGATGCGAAAAATCTCCTTGAGAAAAGATTTGGTCATCCATTCGTCATAGCAAACGCCTTTCGTAATAAGTTAGATTCGTGGCCTAAAATTCCCCCTAGGGATGGTATTGAACTTCGTAAATTTGCTGATTTTTTAAGACAATGTGAAATTGCCATGTCGACAATTAATAGCTTGCAGATATTAAATGACAGTCACGAAAATAAGAAACTATTGAGTAAAATTCCCGAATGGTTAGTTTCGCGTTGGGCTCGAATGGTTTATGACTGGCAAGAAGAAAAGAATAGGTTTCCTCCGTTTAGTCTTTTCGTTAGATTTATTGCGAAAGAAGCAGATATTGCGTGTGATCCAGTAACTACGTTACCAACGTTCCGGAAAGATACTTATAATAGATATAATCCTAGCAAATCAAGTAAATCTATAAGTCTTGCGACCGAAGTTAAAGAGAATCACTTAGAGTCAACGCAGTCAAAGTTATGGAAGAAACAGGAATGTTTCCTCTGTAAAGGTCCGCATAATATTGATGTCTGCAAGTCTTTTCTAGACAAATCATTACCTGAGCGTAAAGAATACTCTGCTCAGAATGGGCTCTGTTTCGGTTGTCTCAGTTTAGGACATAGATCTAAATTTTGTCGTTCGAGATTATTTTGTAACATTTGCTCTAAAGGACACCCCACTTCGTTACACGGTGATAGTGGAAAGCCAGTACCCTATTCAGAAGCTGAAAATACGAAACCGAAATCTGTCTTGTCTCATAACACTAGTATTAAGGAAAGTGTAAGTAAAAGTTCGACCACAGTGTTAGTGTGGTTATCGCATCGTGATAATCCGGAGATTGAAATTCTCACATATGCGATGCTGGACACTCAGTCAGATTCAACATGGGTTACAAACAGTTCGTATAATAAGCTTAATATTGACTCACATGATGTTGTTTTATCGCTTTCTACGATGTTCGCAAAGGACCAAGTAATTAACAGTCGTAAAGTTTCTGGATTGATGGTTCGTGGTTATGATAACTTATTAAAAATCCCCCTGCCTTCGGTCTATACCAGGGAGTCTATACCGGTAAATCGTTCGCATATTCCGACACCGGAAATGGCCCGACAATGGCCCCACTTAGTCAAGATATCCGATGAACTCGTACCTTTAAAGGATGTCGACGCTGGACTGTTAATTGGATACGATTGTGCACGAGCTTTAGCGCCTCGCGAAGTCATCCCACCAGTTGGAGATGGCCCCTTTGCACAGCGTACAGACTTAGGTTGGGGAATAGTTGGCGTGATAGATCCCAGTCCGTCCGATATTGATTTTATTGGTGTTAGTCACACGACACTTGCATACCCTGTACCTTCTGTCACGACGAATTCTTCTACACCGGATCATGTCTATATTTCACTACGTTCGGAAGTAAATGAAATTATAGATCTGAATAATCTTCAAAGAATGTTTGAGATAGACTTCATAGAAAACAAATCCGACCAGACTTCGTATTCGCGAGAAGAGAAGAAGTTTCTCGATTTGATGTCGGATAAGATTCATGTGACGGCCGATGGACATTACGAAATGCCGTTGCCCTTTAAAAATGGTGACCCTGTATTACCGAACAATAAAGCTTTCGCTTTGAATCGCTTAAGTCAGCTTAAGAATCGTCTGCAGAAGAATCCACAGCATTTAGAGGATTACATCGATTTTATGAAAAATCTGATTGATAAGGGCTACGCAGAAATCGTTCCGGATACCGAACAGCAAGGCGATCGGTCGAATATATGGTATATACCCCACCACGCCGTGTACAACCCTAATAAGCCTGGACAGGTTCGAGTTGTGTTTGGGTGTAACGCCGAATTTCGAGGTCACTCATTAAACGATTGTTTACTAAAGGGTCCGGATCTTACAAATACTTTGATAGGGGTGCTTTGTCGATTCAGACTTGATCGTGTAGCCTTTATGTGCGACATTGAAAAAATGTTCTACCAATTTCGAGTTAACGTAGAGCATCGTGACTAGTTGCGCTTTTTGTGGTGGAAAAATGGGGATTATGATACCGTGCCGTTAGAATTCCGCATGACTGTTCATCTGTTTGGAGCAGGTTCCTCCCCAGGATGTTCCAATTTCGGTCTGAAACAAGCAGCGAATGATTATCAGTTGGAGTTTGGTGTTAATGTATCAGATTTTATTCGCAATGACTTTTGCGTCGATGACGGACTTAAGTCGGTAGGCTCGGAGAAAGAAGCGATAGAGTTAATCGATAGAAGTCGTAGGTTGTTATCTAAATGCGGTTTACGATTACACAAGTTCATATCCAACTCGAAAACAGTAATAGAATCTATACCACTTGAAGATCGAGCTAAAGGCATAAAGGACCTTGACCTTTTCGTTGAAGAACTTCCGATAGAACGTGCTCTCGGCGTTCAGTGGCGCGTCGAATCGGATGAGTTCCAGTTTCATATTACGTTGAAGGATAAGCCTCTTACGAGACGTGGCATCCTTTCGACTGTTAGTTCCATTTATGATCCGTTAGGATTTGTGGCACCTTTCCTATTAATTGGTAAACAGATTCTACAAGAGATGTGTCGCAGTAACGTTGATTGGGATAGCGAGTTACCTGATAGTCTACGACCTCGTTGGGAGCGCTGGAGGAACGATATTTTCAAGTTGGAATCCCTTAAGATAAACAGATGTTATAAACCGAGTAATTTTGGAGATGTAATTACTGCAGAAATACATCACTTCGCCGATGCCAGTACATTAGGTTACGGTCAGTGCTCTTACCTTCGCCTGGTGGATAACAAGGAACTTGTTCACTGCTCTTTAGTTTTAGGAAAATCTCGTGTTGTACCGCTTCGCCCCATTACAATTCCGAGGTTAGAGTTAACTGCTGCGTTAGTGTCAGTTCGAGTTAGCATACTTCTAAAGAAGGAACTGAATATCAATGGAATAAATGAAACATTTTGGACAGACAGTAATGTCGTGCTTGGTTATATCAATAACGACGTTCGAAGATTTCACACTTTTGTAGCAAACCGCATCCAGAAAATTCGTGACAACACCAAGACACACCAGTGGAGACATGTCAAGACTTCAGATAATCCAGCCGACGTAGCGTCACGTGGATTATACGCCGAAGAATTAGTTAACCAATCTATGTGGTTCACTGGACCCGAGTATCTTTGGCAAAAAGATATACCTACCTATGGAGAAGAACAACATGAACTCGCATCAGACGACCCTGAAATAAAGAAACAACTTGCCTTATCAACTGTTATATCCAGTTCATCGTCTTCTTTTGAGTTGGAACGCTTAGAAAGATTTTCAACATTGTTTAAAGTCAAACGAGCTGTTGCTAATTGCCTGAAGTTGAAACGTTTACTTTTGATTCGTATTAGAAAGGATAGTAATATACCTTCATCTGAAACTGCTGTTGATTCACTTGTATCAGATTTGCAGGACGCAGAAACGCAGATAATCAAATTAGTACAATCAGAGACATTTGCAGATGAATTGAAAGTCTTACATTCGCTACAGCAAAATGATGTACCCGAGAAAGTTCGCCATAAAACTCTAAAGAAATCATCTTCGTTATTTCGTCTCGATCCGTTCATCGATTCTGATGGTATCTTACGTGTTGGTGGACGACTTCGTAGATCTAATCTTCGTGCTGATGAAAAGTACCCAGCTGTTCTACCTCGACATCATTTCATCACTGAACTGATAATACGTCACTTTCATGAACTATCCGAACATCAGGGCAGAGGAATTACTACCAATGAGATTCGTTCTAATGGTTTTTGGATCATAGGATGCAGTTCCGCTGTGTATAATTTTATCAATAAGTGCGTGAAATGTCGTAAGTTCAGGGGACGTCTGCAAGAGCAGAAAATGTCAGATCTGCCAGAGGATCGTCTCGATCCGACCCCTCCCTTCACGTACTGTGGTGTAGACTGTTTCGGACCTTGGATAATAAAGGAAGGTCGTAAGGAGATGAAACGATACGGCATATTGTTTACTTGTATGTGCTGTCGCGCAGTCCACATCGAGACCGCAAATACGCTATCAACAGACTCCTTTATAAATGGATTACGTCGTTTTCTCTCTGTTCGCGGTCCTATAAGGCAACTACGCTGCGATAACGGTACCAATTTCGTGGGAGCTCAAAGAGAATTGAGAGAATCTTATGAACGCATGGATCATGATCGAATTCGTCAGTATCTCCTTGAAAGAAATTGTGACTATTTTGAATTTAAGATGAATGTTCCATACGCTAGCCACATGGGTGGTGTCTGGGAGCGCCAGATAAGATCAGTTCGCAACGTGCTTTCGTCTCTAATGCATCAGTCTGGCACTCAACTTGATGATGAAGCCCTGAGAACTTTCATGTATGAAGCAGCAGCTATTGTAAATAGTCGCCCTCTAACCGTTGATAATCTCAATGATATTACGTCATTAGATCCGCTTACGCCAAATCATCTTCTTACTCTGAAATCGAGAGTGATACTTCCGCCTCCAGGTGAATTTCAGAGAGCTGATGTGTACTCAACTAAACGATGGCGTCGTGTACAATATTTAGCCAACGAATTCTGGACTCGCTGGAAAGTAGAGTTCTTACAAAATCTACAGCCGCGCCAGAAGTGGAACAAGTCTGTTCGTGATATTAAAGTCAATGATATCGTTTTGATGAAAGATGAAAATCTTCCGCGGAATAACTGGCATTTGTGTCGCGTGGTTGAACTCCTTCCAGATGAGCTTAATTGTGTGCGAAAAGTGAAGCTTATCGTTGGAGATGGTAATCTAAACTCTAAGGGAAAACGAATTAACCCAGTGTCAAAATTAGAACGCCCGATTCACAAGTTAGTTTTGTTATTGGAGGAATAATGAGGCTTTGTTGGAGACCGATGGTACTTCCCCATCGAGGAGCCAGTGTAGATAGTTGGACATTTAAGTTAATGAACATTTCGAGTTAATCTAGTTCATATTTGAATTTTGTCCATTTATTTATTTATATTTTGTATCAGTGTATTTGATAAGTATGTATGTTTACATGTCGTTCGGATAGGTCTACGACATTTTGAAAATTTGAGCATCAATTTTAGGGAGCCATGTGACAGTTGTCCTTTAAACGTTTTTGCATATCGACGGAATTTCCCTTTAAATTCTACACATTGGGCTGCCAGGTGTCACGTGACGAACAGTTCGCCATATTTTCGAGTCTGCAAACACGCATGGTAGTCGCCGAATATTACTTGTGTAGGCGCATGGAGGTATGTTTCTTCAGTTTATGAAATCAATTGCATTCGATACTTTCAATAACGTTCGATTATCCATTTTGTATATGTATTAGATATTAAGTAGCTTTTTCGTTCGTATATTTTCAGTTTTCACGTCTGTGATGTGAGAGAAAGTACGGTCCACGATGGCTATTGCATAATCTACGTCCGCAACGAATGACATGTTCGATTCTTATGCATTACCATTGACTTTCTAATGTATTGTTGTTGTTGACTTCGTCCGTTACTTTTGTCAATAATAATAAACTTCAACCAGTCACAGTTAGTCGAGACTTCCATGTTTGTTCGTTTGTTAAAAACCCCCTAATGACAGTCTCTGTCCTGCCTGCTACCATGAATACGAATACGATTCCGATTCGTCGACAGCGGCTGCCGTTACAGATATGCATGTTCTTACATATCAAGTCCAATTGGTTTCAAAAATATTGACAAAATTACGTAGACGTGAACTTTTTATGAAAGCAGTTAAATTCTGATATATGTAGAATATGCATATCTATATAGCATTTAAATTTTGGATGTTATATGTAGAACATGCATATCTATGACATATCTTTCCCTGTATATGTTGTCGGTTCCTGGCGGCTCGTCTTGTACTGTCTGTCGAGCATACTAAACTTTGGCTGTCCGATTACTATTAGCTCCGCTAGTTGACTAAAATCGTCGATTTAGGACTTAAAATGTCGACCCACTAGCTTAATGTCTGTTCTCAAGCGGAGGTAACTGTAGTCGGGCAGCCTAAGTTTAGTATGCTCGACAGACGGTAGCTTACTTCGGTCACGTTGAGACTAACATAAGGTATTCTTTATTTCTCCAGTGCGAGGATGGATTTTGTCCTGTCATCTTTCAATTTGTACTCGCTATCTGAACGACTAGACGCTCCTGATAAGTGATATAAAAGTATCAAATTTGTATTTCGTTAAACTTAAAGATAGAGGATATAATTTTGAAAATTTGTGTCCGAACCATTTGAACTTGAGAGAATGAGATTTTTTTGTGTGTGTTCACCGATGTAATGATTTGAAAAAAAAAAAAAAAAACGAATGGGACAATAAAGTTAAACATTTCAAAGATTTCCTTACTCCAGAACTCTCCTACTCTACCATTAAGCTATTATGTTATATACTTCAACTAAACTTGAAAGGGTTTTATAATCTTAAATGTCGAAGTACAAACTCGTATTTTCAAATCAATATATACATTTACAAAAATACACGATTCGAACAGCTTTAGTTTCAGATGAAATATTTTTGTCAAATAATGTAGAAAACTTCTGAACTCTTTGATGGCTACTTCAACTAAAAACGGAATGTGTCTATATAATGGACTTTACCACACAGATAGATTGTATACGATAGAAGAATGAAATTAAATGAGGTTGAATGTCCTATACTGCTCTGCTCCGACTTGGCTAAAGAAGAGGGCAATACGACATACACTGTGCTAAGAATAAAATTTCGCTCGCTACGGCCTACTTCTAAATCAAAAGTGGAGAAAGAACAACTCGATCAACATCAAAACACGACCTTGTTGTTCCAAAAACTTTGAAAGTGTCATGTGATGATAGGGCATTTTCAGCGGCAGCACCCATCCAATGGAATAAACTCCCAGCAACATTAAAGGAATCCAGAACTTTAGAGTCCTTTAAATTATCCTTGAAGACTCACTTATTCAACTGTGAATACCAAACGTGACACTGCAGCTCAGCGCCATCGAGTATATAGAACAGTTCTAGATGAGAGGCCCTATACAAATCCATTATTATTATTATTATTTTAAGTTTTCCATGATGAACCTCATACCTGCTTTTGAGCAAGAGGTTGCCAAATGTTGCTTCATCTGTGGTACAAAGCGTTCAACTCCACGAAAATTTGGGAAAAAGTTATAGCCGGTCTAAGAGAAAAGAATTAACATTAAAGTCAACGGGGAAATAACTGGTGATATATGGCCATATAAAATCCATTATTTACGGCAGCTAGAGAGGTAAGCTTCTGGGCTGACCCGATTCAGTCTCTGGATTCGGTAGAATGGTTGCTTTAAAGGAGTGGACCTATGGTTGATTTAAACGATATTTTTATTCAAGTACATAAAGAAAATTTACAACACTCTTGTAATGAATTAGAAAACAAGCCGAAGCTTATATAAATTCCTCTCCATGTAAATTATACATTTCAATACAATTACTAAAATGTACATAATGTACAAATACATATAACATATTTACATACACAATTAAACAAATAAATAAATAAATAAGTCATCATTATCATCATCATCATCATCATCATCATCATGGTTGGTCTAGCCTTTAGTGTGCACCGTGTACGCACCCGTGTAATTATATGTTTATATTCTTGTTCCTGGTGCAAATAAACTTTATAATATAATACTGATATTCTTGTATACACTGATAGTGTTAGAAGAGTGTGGGGTGGGAAGGTCATTTTCATAATAAACGGAACAACACCATTGAAATAAAAATCAAAGGCACAATGTTCCAGACTTAAAATTAAATAGAAACTTTCAGAAAATAAATAAATAGTTTTACATGTAAGGAACGAAAAAATGAATAACCATTTAAAACAGACCTCTTTGCAATATAATGTATATTTTTTTTCCTGAAAGAACATTGACATCGAATTGTATGCCTTTAAAAGCTGTTGGTTGTTAGATCTGTTACATAAACATTATTTTAGGAATAATAATGGAATAAAAACGCCCAATAAATGTAAGTAAAAGACAATACATGTTACGAACACATAGAGAAGGTGGAAAAATTAGCTTTAATAGATTGTTGCATAAAATTACAGTAAGTACCAAACTATTAAACAATATCCTTGCACAATACATAACATGTCGTCATAATCAAACCAGTATTTAGCCTTGAAAATCCCTTTCTCTGTTGCTTTCAGAACAATTTATTGACCAACAAAGGCATCTGAGTAACGGCAAGGTTGAAAAAGGAAACCAAAACTTGTGGATGAATAAGAACATGAAAAGGGACGGATTAGTGTTAATTAAATAGTAAGATTACTGCAGTTACTGAGTGGGTTCTTATGCAAGTAAATCTGTTACAGGCCAATCAGAATAAAATACCTCTCTCTGCATAACTAAATCGACATACATGAATACACAATTACATTTGCCTATATGATAGATGAAGCAGTTGTCAGTACATACATATAGTATTCGTTTTACTATTACAAGCAACCTAAAGTTGTAACAAGATAAAAGACATTTCATCGAACTAGTTCACTCTTTCTAGATTGTTGTCAGCGATTATCCAGTTTTAAACCTTAAGTGGAAACATAACCTGCGGGATTCGCGCCAAAGTATTGATATTTATCCAGAAATGCCAATCATAAATTTAACTATGCAGGAAAATACCGGAATTCACCGAGAAATGTCAATGGCATGATTGGGTTGTTTGTTTTGGTAAACTGATGGTAGAAAAATAGTAATTAGAACCCCTGGGATTTTCCCATTCTTTTGAAACGTTTGTCACCTTGCTATAATGTGTCCATTAAATAAGAATTGGGAACAAGTGTTCCATTATCCTCTCTAGTGCACGACTTCTGTTAGAACTTATAACTTATCGGTGCTATCATTTGGTCTTATATAGAAGCAGAAGCTACTTTGTAGAAGGTAATCCTCGGTGGAAATATACACCTGCCGCGTCTCCAATCAAAGGTTGTGTTAAAACATGACTTGAAATATTCAATTGTGCTGTTTATTATGTCTAAGCACCCGAGAGTCATACATACCTACATACTATCAGGGACAGTGAGAGGTGTGTGGGTGTGGGTGGGTGGGTGTGTTGGGTGGGGCGGAGGCTACCTGAACACTTGTCCAGGGGCCAGTAGTCTACAGTGGCCCGGGGGTATGCCGAGTAATATTTTGATATAAATTAGATGAAAAATATGCTGTTACTTTATCGAATGTGGTTGAAATAAAAACTATAAGCCACCTGCTCGGGCCTTCGCGCCGTGGGCTACAGCCCGTCCTCATTCCGTTTGTGGGTCTCGTCACCGTCAGGGTATCCGGGCCCCGGCAGGTAATCGGGGCCTAGTCTGGGCCTGAAAAACGCTGGTTCGTCTATAACAGAAACAATGAAGCAGTATATTGTTGGCCATATATACTGTTTGGTCATAAGTGCCAACCCAAGGCATCGCCCTCGTCCGTGTCACAACTAACCAAGCTAGAAGGATATGGTCTTTAAAATAAAGACGATGAGGGCAAGCCAAAACCTGAATGGCATAAGTTGTACGATCGAGTAACATCTCACGAACATAGCCAAAATCATATTGCAAACTACCTTAATGTAATAGATTGGAACTGAGAAAAAATTGGAATTGGCGTAAAACTTAAGAAACAGATAAAGAATAACGTGAATATAAAATTATGGAGCGGGTTTTTTTTTTTTTTTTTTTTACGTATATCAAAAATACGAGTAAACTGGTGAAGCGATTACTAAACTCGTGAATGGCTGCTGTTAATGGACTTCGAGGACGCCGGTCATCGTCAAGGCTTTCTGTGCGACGCTTAATTTCCACAGCCCACTTATTTACTGTGAAAATGGAAGTTGCATCATATCCTCAAGTGAAGAAATGTCGGCATGTATCTGTGTTGAGGTTAGTCCTATCAGTTGCAGGTTCTTGATGACTGTTCAATAGCCAGTTGTCCATTTCTGGGGATTGTAATGGGTATGTTCACAAGATGGTGTGGTACGAAGACAATAATAACACTACAGTTGCAGTTCTTCTTATGTCTATGATTCATTCAATGATAGTACTTGATGGTGGTAAAAGTTTGTTTCAACCCAATTGACCTATCCTTGTCAGACTTAGAACTTTACAGCCAGCCCTCATGTCAGGTATGTAGTATCATTAGTTTCTGTGTTTTAGCGAATCAACTTCCAGTTATCCCAGATATACGCCCTGTCGCGGACTTTACATGCCATTGCTACAAAATGGTACGACTCATTTGGCATGCTTTTGAGATGTTGTCAAGCGTGCAAAGGACAAGTGTACTGGATTCGTCGTATGTTTTTTTTTACTTATGTATCGGAGCAATGGTTAAATTTGCTGCACAGAATGTCGGACAGTAAGGGGTTTGGTGGCTTAAAATAAAAATAAAAAATCAACTTAAAGATGCATAATGTAGGAGCTAAATCTGCATATTGCAGGTCTTTTTCTGGCTTCAAATATTATATAAATTATTATAATCTCTAGAACATCGGATAACTGCGGTGTTACATGGATTAGA